GCGCGGGAAAGGAGTCGGCGGTGACTGCGGCGAGCTCCTGGCCGCGTGCAGACCTGGTCCGCGCCCGGTTCCCTCCCCAGCGATTGTTGATGGGGAGCGGTCCTGCGCTAAGCTGGCACAGCTTCTTCCCTGGCTGACCGTCGCCACAGCATGGCGTTCACTTATCGCCCGTCCCCTAATCAACGCCGCCATGTGCCTCCTCCTCCTACCAGCCTTTTTCCCTGGGCCTGGAGAGCCCTGCTGCAGAGGCTGAGGCAGCACAACGACGCCCAGTACAGTCGCTGAGCGACCTGGGGAGACCTGTCTCGAAAATAAAGGGCAGGGGATCAATCCCCTGTAACACGCACACACGAAATCGGGGAGGAGGACTGGGCACTTAGACTCGGGTCCCCGGAGCTGCCGTCTGGAACACGGGCCTCGCACTAACCTGAGACTCAGTTTCCTCTTCTGCAGAATGAGAATAAGAATGGGCCCTGCTGAGCTGCAGGGAAGCTGATGAGACCCTGGACGCATCCTGAGCGTGGCCGTGGTCACCCCGCTGTCATCTGAGCTCCCGCGGTTTGGAGAAAGTGTGAAAAGCCAACAGCGCCGGGTCATCGCTTCTGCTCCTACTGATCTGGGGGCTTTAAGCCGGAACTGTAAAAGCTCGCTCTTAGCTCTAGCAGGTCAGAGGTGGCTAAAATGAAATCTGTGTCGCAGGTTGCTGTGGTTCGTGACCCCCAGAGCCCGTTGTATGTTGTCTTGGTCCCTCCGGGTGGTGCTTTGGAGGCGGGAGTCCTTTGGGAGGGGCGGGGGTCCCCAGGAATCGGCCCTAGGGATTGCTTTGGTAGGGTCCCGAGGCCTGGCCACACCACCCTCACTGTCTCCCCGCTCCTGGACCCAGACGCAGTCCTCGCCCGGATCTGCTCCCTGCTGTGGCGTCCACCAGCCTACATGAGTCCTGACCAGAACTGCTCTGATGGATGCAGGTGATACAGAGGAAAGAAACTCGCAACCTGAAAGATATCTGGGACGAGTTTGTGTTCTCTGAAATAGAAGAATGAATTTTAGGAACAACGGAGGTTAAGAGCAGAATATATTTATTGAGGGAAAGAAAACTTATGTCCGAGAGAGGGACAGGAGGGGCCTGAGCGGATTGCCCAGGAAACCTGCCTTTTCCAGGGATCTTTATAGAGCAAAACCGTAAGGTGAGGCGGGTACAAGGTGGAAAATCTGGGAACTCAGTAGGTGGGCATGAGGTGGGACAAAACTATGATCAGCCAATAAGATTACAAGTATAATTGTTCGGGTAAAATGGAATAAATGGGGAAGCCCAGTCTCACAGCAAATAGGCATGAATGCAGAACAGGGGCCTTTCCTGTAGGGGGTTGGACTAGTGACTCTTCCTGGCCTTTTCAAGGTGATGGATACCTATTTAGAATATCTATCCCTGAGGTCCATCCCTAGGGAGATATGTGGACACATTTGTTTCATCTTTTGTCTTGAGATCCGGCCCACAGGAAGGGCCTGTCTCTCCCACACTTGCAAGGTATCTTGTCTTCCATACTGGCTCCTTCAACGGCCTGCCCCTGTCCGACTGCCTATATTTCTATCTAATTCAGCTGCCTATAACACAGGGACCAGGCGGTTGGGCCTTCAGAACCTTTTCACCTTATATACTTGCTTGTCTGAGGTGCTTTATTCTAGTAACACAAAGCTGACTAACCCAGAGCTTAAGTGTTTTTCTATAGTTTTATTCTATTTGGTAGTTATCCATGATTCATTAATACAGTTCAGATTCGGGCCAAGTTTTACAGCTTTACCAAATGTAATTATCGTGCAATAACCGCGCATGTTTCAAATGTACAGACTGAATTTTGGCATGTGCGTAACCGCGACGCCACCATCACGGTGGAAGTAGGGAACCATCAGGGCAGTCTCAGTATAAATCCGAGTCCATGCGTCCCTCGGAGACGCACGCATGCGCAGGGGACTGCCGCGTAGCCCTGCCCTGGGCGTGCCCACCCGCAGCCCCTCCCCAGCCCGCACACTGAGGGATCTTCTCCATCGTGCGGACAGCGCCCCCTGCTGGCGCCTCCCCGCGGCGCCCGCTCCTCCGCCCACCTGCCTGGCGCTGCCCTGGCCCGCCCTTGCCCACCTGCGGTCTGGACCGCCGCGGTGAGGTTCTGAGCCCTCCCGTCTTCTCCTCTGCTTCCCTTGTGTGTTTGTGGCCAGAGACAAGCAGCGAGCCCATACATCTGATCGCGCCACTTCCGCTCCTCGGTTCCCGCCGGATCTGCATCCTGGTGGCCGCCGCAGACGCACAAGCTGTTCCCTAGCCGCTCACGGCGGACCTGATGCCCTGACGTTGCAGAGCCTTGCGAGGCAGGCAGGCCCCGCCTCGTTCCCGCCCTGTGCACCCTCGCACACACGGGGACCCCGTGCCTGGGCCCGCCCTCCGCCAGTCAGAGAAAGGAATTGGGTGAAGTTAGCCTTGCACCGGTCCGGAGACAGCCGTTCTGGCTCCAGCCGGCTGCGGGGCTGCTCCTACCCTTCAGTTTGACCTGTGCTAGAGCAGCCCTTTCGTGCAATGACCCTTTTGCGGGCCCACCTGGCGTCCTTCTGACGGCGCTCATAGTTAAGGACGGCGAGGGGTCTTCATCTGTAGCACAATGTGTGACCTTGGAGCCTGTGTATGACAGGCATGAAGGGAATACTGATGAAGGGGTCTTATCAGGGCCTTATCAGGGCCTTAGGCTCTAGCCCCGGCCTCACCACTAATTAGCTCTATGCTTGCAGGCTGGGTCTCGATTACCTTCGCTGTAAATTGAGAGGATTGGCTCACCGGGTCCCTGGGGCTCCTTGCAGAGCCAACACTCTGAAGTGGTATCAGGTAGGAATGCAGAATGGTAACCAGAGTGCGCGGGCTCGGCCCCAAGCAGGAGGGTGTAATTCCGCAGGAAGCCGCCAGGTGGCAGGTGGGAAGGAAGCGGGCTAGGAAGCGGCTTAGGAAGCGGGCTAGATGCACAGCTGCTTTCGCTTTCTGAAAGCCGCCCCCTGCCCCGCTACGCCCCTCGGGAATCCGCGAGAAGCTGTCGATCTTTTCTCCAGGCTCTGCATCTGTACAGCCCTGGAACGGAGCCCCAGGTCCTGTTACCTGGTCGGGCCAAAGCCCACAGAGGCAAAACCACCCGCGACCAGGCGGCAAAAAGAGCGGTTTGAAAAGGGAGGGTGTGCTGGGCTTGGAGTTTTGAGTCATCGCCGTCCCCTTCCAACCCCCAATGCGAACTAAGCCTTTGTCTGGCGTGAATTTCGCTAGGAATCAAGAATCATAGGACTGACCTCCCCCAGGGCGGGGACGGGACCCGGGTTCCCACGCATGCCCGGTAAGCACTCCCTGCCACCCCCAGCCCAGTCTGGGACTTAGATGGTAAGAGCACTGCTCCCTGGGAGTCCCGGACTTATGCTGAGACCATCTACAAAGAGCGCTGTCGCCTCGGGCGCTCACGCTGCCCGCAGTGAGTCCTAAGGACTTCCCGGATGTTCGGGACGTCAAGGCCTTGCTCAGGAACGTCTCCTTGGGCCCTTAAGACAAAATCAAACTCAGTGAGACGCCAGGGATGGGAATGTGCAGTAGCTAGTCTGCGCTCTGGGGAACATTTGACCCTTGATATGTCAGTGGCTGGCTGTGACAGTCTGGTTTCTAGCTTGTGCTGTAAATGTCGCCTGAAATGGAGCTCTGTGGCTTCCCTCAGGAACCCAGGCTGACAGAGCCGCCCCCGCTGCACAGGTCCCAGGCGCAGAGGAGAGCGCTGGGGGTCAGGGCTGGGCGCTTGCTGTGCTGACCCAGAAGGACAGATCACATTCGCTGGTAGTTAGCAATGCCACCTGTGCTTCTACCTACGGGGAGGTGGGTGGGTCGCAGATACGGGGCGCAAACAGCATGTCTGGCGGGCAACCCAGTGCTCCTAACACAGTGACGATGGCTGGGCTTTAGCTCAGTGGCGAGAGTGTGCCTGGCACACTCCAGAGCGTACTTGAGAGTTCTTAAATCTGTCAGCCACTGTGTCTCTTGGTTTTCTAGGACGAGCTCCTAATGGCCTGGGGCCAAGAGATGTGGCCCAAACCTGTGTTCACCCCTCCTTAGTGAGAAACTATGTTAAGCCTTTGTCTCCTCTGAAGAATGATCATTTACCCTCTGCTCCGAGCCTGCTCCTCCCACCGAAACCACCTGCGAACCTGCACAGGTGCGCAGGGGTGCCCCACTGCGCATGCTCCCTTAGGGGACAGCTCCGCGCTGCGCTCTGAGGGGAGTTCCCACCCCTCGCCTTCCCCAGAGCGTCTCACGGGCTGCTTGTCCCTCTCTCTTCTGTCATCATCGATCGCCACCTGCCTACGACCGTCAGGCATCCGTTTAATTTTTTCCCACCTTAAGAAATGTCCTCCTTTGACTCTGTTCTCTCAAATTCCCTCCGTGTATCTCTGCCCCTCTGCGTCGGTCAGCCTCGGGGACTAATGCTAGCAGGGCTGAGAGGCCACAGAAAGGCAGGCGGCTGCAGGACCGCTCAGAGTCAGCCAAGCTGGGGACAGCGGCATAGGAGCGAGCCTTGGGCACTGCGCCCCGAGGCAGAGGAAGGGTTCATGTGCGGAGTGAGACGAAGATGGCCCCGCCGCCTCCACAAGGACCTGGCCTTTCTCAAAACCTCTGAGCAGGCCAGGCGTCGGTAAGAAAGTCCAGGCGGGAGGCTGGCACAGAGGCGCGGCCGGCTGTAGTAAAGCCTAGGTGGTGGCTGCGACCAAGACGGTCTGGAGGACGGAGCTGGAGCCCTACTCCTGCCCCATGATCCTGGGGAAGGGGTTCTGTGTGCTGCCCCCAATTCCTCGGCTCCCCTTCTCTCCTGAACTCGCTTCGATGGGGTTTCCGTCCCCATTTGTCCCCACGCTGCTCCCGGCAAGGACTCCACACCCTGCACCAGGTCCCCGTCCATCCTTCTGCACCAGGTGGGTGGCACCTGACTCGCAGAACACTGCACCTCCTCTTGTGCATGAAAGCCAGGTCCCCAAGACGCCCGCTTCCCTGCTGTGTCCCCGCCTCAGAAAGCCGCACCTGGGTCCTCCCTTCCAGTGTCCAAGCTGGCAGTCAGCACCCTCTCTGGCTCTTCCCCTCCTGCCTGGACTTACCTTCCCTTATCAGGAGATCCTGGCGCCCACCCCCCCAGCCTCTCCCCGCCCTCCTCACTGGCACATGGACATCCAGCCTGCTCAGAGGCCCGTCTCTGCCCCGGCCCTTACTATTTATTTGCCAGGTAGAACAGTGATTTTTTTTCAAAGCAGCTTTTCCTCTTACCTCATTTTTGATATAGATTAGAGCCTCGAACCAAAATTCCCTAATGCGAGCAGCCCATTTCCAAGGAGGACCCCTAGAAGGTCAGAGTTCCTTCGGGCTGTAAGAACCATAGCTTGGGTGCAGTGCCACATGACTATAATGCCAGCTACATAGGAGGCTGAAGCAGGAGGATTGCAAGTTCCACTCCAGTCTCAACTTAGTGAGACCCTGTCTCCAAAATAAAGTAAAATGAAATGAAACGAATTATAAACAGCTGGGGTGTAGCTCAGGGTTAGAGCCCTTGCTCACCATGTGAGGGCAGAGCCACCGAGCCTGGGTTGAATCTGAGGGAACTCAGGTTTCTGACAAGGTCGGTGGACATGTAGTCAGTGGCCTGGGTACAGCTGCCATCACCCCCACATCAGCTCGAGAGAGGATTGTTCACCCCAGCAGACTCTGGAGGCATCCAGTGGCCCCAGGGTTTTGCTGCCAATGCCAGTGTGAGATTCTTCCGCCCTCTTCCTTTAGGTTTCTTATCTAAGGTACCAACCCTGGAATCCCCAGTCCAGCCCCACTGCTGACTGTTCAGTTATATATGGTCCCCACGCGATACCCTTTCATGACCCTTATTGCTTCTTAGAAGAGCAAATGCATGCAGGGGGGGTGCCCTTGACTGGGGCTGGGAAATACACAGTTACACGCGGGTATGGCCGTGAACAGGAGAGGCTGTGAGGCCCTGGAACACACCCAAGGTCAGCAAAGGGCAGTGAGATTTCCTGAGCAGAAGCAGAGAAACATGGAACTGGTCGACCCCAGGAAAGGCCAGGTCTGCCGGGCCTGGTGGCGCACACCTGCAGTCCCAGAACTCCGGAGGCTGAGGCAAGAGGATCGCAATAAATGTGAGACCAGCCCTGGCCACACAGTGAGATTATGCCCAGCCTGGAATACAGATCCAGAACCCATCTCAAAAAATTTAAGGGGGCGAGGCTTATAGTTCTAAGCCCTGGGAGTGCCCACTGAAAGACCATTTTGATGCCAGGAAAAGCTGGTATTTTCCTAGACTCCTCTGCCCAGCTTCAGAGCCTTGCACCAGAGGTGTGCAGCTGTGGATGGCACAAAACAAAGCTGGCGGCCCACACCCTGCTGGAAGGCCACAACCAGCAGAGGCTCCAGGGCGTCTGGGTGGTGGCAGTAGGCTTAGGGCACGGAGGATTTTCTGACACATCTCGGTCTTCCTCCCACACCCACCGTGGTCAGCCGGCACACTCAGGGCCCCTCGCCAGCCCCTTTCCCTCCACACACACACAGGGCCCTCAGCCCCAGGGGCTCACGGGCCTTACCCAGCCGGGCGGGTCCCCAGCTTGAGAGAATGTGGCTGCCCTGAGGGCTGGGGTATCTGTGTTTGTGTTTCCTTCCTGGCCCTGAAAACATGCGCTTCCACCCAACAAATAAAGATAGGGCTGATGAAAGCAGCTGTCATCCATGCAGAGCTCCGGAGAAGCCAAAGAAAAAATGAAAAGATTGGGGACAAGACGCGCATTCCTTGGGCCCGCAGGCGGTCCCTGACCGAGCAGCTGCGCTAGGGAAGGCGCCGGGAGCAGCCCCCGCCCCGCTGTGGCCACGAGTGGTGGACGTGAGGGCCGCGGTCAGCCCTTCCCGGGCCAGCGCGCTGCGGGGAGCCCTGGGCGCAGGATGCGAATGTAAATGCGCGGCAACCTATGAATCTCACAGAAAGGATGTTAAGCACTGAAAAAAAAAAAAAACCTATCTTTATTGTTTCATTTTTGTGTTTATGAGTTCGTGTCTGCAGTCCGTAATGGTCACGTTCATCTCGGGGAGCGGGTGCGTGCCTGTAACACAGCTCCCTTCTCCCACCCCTGACCTCGCGTGCCAGATTTATCTCATTCGACCTTATGGTCTCAAGGTGCACCCATTTTCCTACAAATGACTCAGACTTATCCTTCTCTATGGCAGCGCTGCACTCCATTATGCATAAATACCACTTTTCTTTCTCCACTCACGCGCTGATGGGTATACAGGCCACTTCCAAGGTGCA